ATATATATGGGGTGGGGGGACTGGATCAAGTGGGGGTCATAACCCCACTAAAAATACACTTGTGAAAGCTTGTCTGAATCCAGACAGTTGTTGTCATCCTAGTATTAAAAGAGTTTGTAAACTTTCATAAACCTTTATAATTGCATAACCATGTTATTYACACAAACAGGACAAGCAGCAGCAGCAAGCTGTAGCACTTCTGGTGCAGCCCAACCATATTTTTCAGAAACAAGAATTAATGCCATGTTGCACAGCATCTACCTTCTTCATTAAGCAGACTCAAAATGTCACGTATATATAAMGTTTAAGCCACTGTCGATTTTGCATTCAACAGGAACGATTAAAGTCTTGCAGGAAATTCATCAGGCTGTAGGAAGTGCTGTAGGTTTGAAAATAATCATGAAATCAAAACTTAACCCTCCTGTTATGTTGCCGGTCAAACTGACCCGTTTTAAAGTTTAAAAAAATTAAAAATAGTTTTAAGTATTTTTTCTGCATGAAACTTTTGTCTTAATAGGTATAATTTACATACACAATGAAAATGGTTCATTTTACATTTTTCTGCTTCTACATATTACGTAGATACTGTTCTGCTCAGTTTGACCCGGCAGTCAAAATAAAGGGTAAAAATGGTCAGAAGTGTCCAATACTATTTGGTTTTGCAACTGTGAGTCATTTCACCTCAAACACACACAGAGGCAGATATTGGGACGATGTGGGTTGTGCACTTCTTTAGGCACTCGTCACAGTGGATGAAGGTTTGTGGTATTCAGAGGTTGCTGCTCATTTAGACAAAGTTTATTTTCAATAAATCTTCATGACTCTGTTTTTAATTAGCAGCTCAATTTGACCCAGAACAGGTGTCTCAAGTTCAATTATAAACACCACTTTCTTTTAGGAAAACGAGTGAATTGTCCTCATTTATCAGTTATCTGAAATTAAAAAAAAACAGTAATAATTCACAACTATTTAAATTGTTAGTAATCAGATGTTTTGGGGGATTTTTTGTTTCTGACACTATAGCATGATTAAACACGCCCCGGGTCAAATTGACTCAGGACTATAATTGCTGTTCCCTAGAAACGAACACAACAGGAGGGTTGGTGTACAAGATGTATGAAAACATTACKATCTATGAAATATAGTTCTTGCTCAAAGTAGCCATTACCTCAAATTATTCAGACCGAGTTGAATTTGAAGATTAATATTTATTAATCTAAACATTTGATTTGATAGCTGAGACTGACCAGAGCTCTTTACACACTGACATTTTGACTAAATGCAGTCGATGCTTTGCAAAATCTACTTAAACACACACAAACACACAATGTAAATTTTGAACAAAACTCTCAAAAATGATTCAACAACTTTATTTACAGACTCGCTTTGGTAAAAGAAAAAAAAAAAAACAGCATGTACAACACATGAAGAACCACACAGATATGAACAGACAGTAGGAATGAGGTCACAGTAGAGGAGAGGAAAGTCCTCTAGAAATTGAAAGTGCTCTGGTTTTCACTGATTTGGAACGCAAAACCTTCTTCAGTGGCTTCAGGTGCCACGCTCTGCACCTCTTCCTCCTTTACACACAAAAAATAAAAGAGTACATCAGAGGACAAATGATGCCAAACTGGTTACAAAGCATATCTCCTCATACCTACCTCCTCAGAGAAGTACTTCTCAATCAGGTTCAGGGCAGCTTTGTAGATCATCTCGTTCTCATGAGACTGCAACGCCTCGATCTTATCTAGTCCTCCACATTCTTCGATCATCAGGCTCAGCTTGTCTGATTCGCCAATTTTTTCTCCAGCCTGACAAAAAAAAAAAAAAAAAAAAAAAAAAAACACACAATGACAAATTTTATAGCCACTGAGCCAAAACAAACAATCTGATTTTGTCCATCAGGTGGGGCCTCACCAAGAAGATATTAGTGAGTGCATCCAAGATGACGAGGACAGTTTTGCTGTCCTTAGAGGACAGCAGGTTCAGGAGAGGCTCCAGCACATTGGCTTGAACCAAGAAGACCACCTGCTCAATAGTGCCCCCGCTGGTGAAGTTTGTAATAGCCCACACAGCCTCTTTCTGCGTTTTGTAGTCACCCTTAAGAGAGAACCCAAAATAAATAAATAAATAAAAATAAATCAGAATACAGGTTTTATGCGTTTATCTGAACAGATCTAAATAAACAAACATACCCTCACAAGCAGCTCGACCACGTACGGGACGAGGCCTGCGTTGATGACCTCCTGGATCTGAGAGTCCCTCCCAGCGGTGATGTTGGACAGAGTCCAGGCTGCCTCCTTCTGAATGTTGGGCCTTTTGTGGCGCAGCAGCTGGGGGAACATGGACAGGGCTCCAGAATCCAGCACGGTTTGAGTCTGCTCGTCAGTACCGGTCACAATGTTGCCGATGGCACGCAGCGCGGGAGTCTGATGGAGAAAAAAAAAAAAGTTATTGATACACTGAGCAAACTGCAACTTTCCCAATCACATAAAAAAAAAAAAAAACACTTACAACTATAGACAGCTCCTGAAAGCCAAGTAGCTTCACTAGGCGAGGGATCAGACCGGTCTGGACCACCACGTCAATGCGGTCATTAGAGCCATCKGTCAGGTAGGAGACCGCCCAGCACGCGTCAGCCAACACCTCCAGGTCGTGGTGGTGCAGGAGGCGGATGAGACAAGGCAGGATCTGCTGGATGGCGGTCATAGGAGGGGAGGGGTTCTTGTTCCGGCACAGGTTGGAAAGGGTCCAGGTCACATTTCTCAGATAGCCAGGCTGAAAGAGAGTAAAGGAGCACGTGTCAGTTTGACATTAAATATTCTGTCAGGTTATGGCTCCACCTAGAGGTTGAATCCGACAATTACATGAAAACAGCATGAAGTAAATGCAAGGATAATTAAGATTTAATTTTCTCTGAAGGAAAACATACTGACCACTTCCTTTTATGYCTAAAAACTTATGAGAGTGGAATTATAGTTTAGATCAAGTTACGAATTGCASAATTTAGATTTTTTTTKRWWAAACAGTGGTAAGACAGWACTGAGAGTAAAAATCGACTTACAGTAAATACAGTGAGGTCAGGAACTGCCAGCAAACTGAGCAATGGCGCCACAGCACCGTGTTTAATCACTTTGTCTCTAAGAGCCGACCCATCGCCTGAAGAGGAAGGGAATGGAAAAAAAAAAAAAAAGAAAAAAAAGGGAAAGTCATTTTGAGTATGACCCTAAACTTTCTGAAAACACAAGTTTTAAAAAAACCTGATGTTACCAGCGATGTTTCCCAGAGCCCAGACTGCCTGCTCGCTGATATGCTGATGGGGGGAGGTGACCAGGTCAATGAAGGCAGGAATGGCCCCGCCCGCCACCACAGCAGCAGTCTGATCRGCGGTCCCCGAGGCAATGTTGGTCAGAGCCCAGGACGCCTCAAACTGGATGGGAGAGCAGTCCGTCAGACCGAGGAAGGACACGAACTTGGGGATCAGCCCAGAGCTGATCATCTGGTCGATGGGAGGATGTTTGTCACGAGACAGGAGTTTCCTGAATGCAGAACAGCACAACCAGGAAGTTAAAACAACCATTTTAAAAGTGGGGATCAAACACTAACAGCACATTTTGATGGCTTCCTACCGAGCAGCTTGAGTGGCCTGGAGCTGGGTCTCAGGATKATCACTGTTCACTCCTGCAACAATCTCCTCCACTGACCACTGCCTCAAAGCCTGCAAGGAGGAACATTTAGACAAGATTTAACAAACACCTAAGATCGGAGTAACTTCACTGCAAATCCTCAACTTTTACCTGACAGTTCTGGGTCCTTTCCTGAAGCGGAGACGTGACGTCGTCCGGMGCTGCGGACACATTCCTCCTTTTGAAGATCTGGTCGTCTTTCTTTGCTTTTCGAAGCTCCACGTTGACCTCCACTCTCCTGCGTCGAAGCTCCTGCGAGTTACAAATGCACATGGAACCTGGTCTCAAACCTACAGTTACTTAATTAAAGAAAGAAAAAGAAAAGCAAATAGGAGGGTAGAGATACACTCACATTAGCATCTTTGCCTTTGTTCTTGAATTTGTTCAGACGAGCACCGTTCTCGGACATTTTCGAAGAGGAACGGAAGTTTGATAKCGGATAAAAGCCTTGAGTTTTCCTGCAAAGACAAACAGTTTCAGTTGAAGCGAATTAAGTGCCTCGGGGCAAAAGAGATGGCGAAAAAGCATCAAGCAAACGTCCTGTTTGAATTAGCTAGCGGCTCAATGGCTGAAAGATAAAACACATTCAAAAATTGACATACATCGAAAAAAAAGTCACGCTAATTCACAACGTTTCTAKAGTAGCAGCAGCTAACACTCACCTTGCTTAGAGCAGAAGAAGTGAGTAAACTGCCGCACAGACCTTTAAATTCCTGCTGGAGAGTTCTCTGATTGGACCGTTCGAGTCAAAGCATCCCGATCTCTGCGTTCATTGGGCTGTTTAAAAAACAGCAGAGCGTACAGGAAACAACGTCACTCCACGAGAACATCGCGAGATTTGACCAACGTTCCTGTTTCTAAAGAACTCTGCATTTTAAACAAATCAAACACACTCATCAAGAAAATATTAAATAATTTTTGTATATGTGTTTATCTTATGTTTTATTTGAATCTTTAAGTTTTGTTATGGGTAAAAAATATTATAAATGCAAAGTGCAAACATCAATTTTAAAATCACAACTATTCCAATCAAAACAAGTCTAAACTTGATCCTTTACCAAAAACAAAAGGGTGATATTGTTGGTTGTGTTAGCAAAACATGTTTCCATAAATTCTGTTTATAATAATAATAAACCAACCACTAAATGGTTATTAAAACAATCCAGAGAATAACATTAGCCAACTAATCTTAAAAAACATGAAAAAAAAAAAAGGAATTTATTTTACTGCAGAGCTAAAATCTGATGAAGTAGAGGAGTCACAGGTACTCAAAGCTGTTTTACAGAAATGCTCGACCTTTAGCTGGTTTTGTAACCTTTTTTGTGCTCAAATTATTTAYACAATAAAACTAATGCAACTTTTTAAGTTCCTGCTTTCCACTGCTGCAAAAATACACAGAAAATATCAGTCTTTTCTGTTTTATTAAGTTMCATATACATCAATATTTCTTCAGCTGTAATACAAAAAAGAAATCAAGTCAAAAATCTGATGATTTTTATTTTACAAACAGGGCCTTCAAACATGTCTTTCTCAGTCACTACTGCAAATAAAGTCATTTACAATAGCTTATTACTGTCTCTTCAGTAGGATATATAGAAGTTTGACCAAGAAGACTAATGATTTCCAAGTATGTAGTACTTCAGTACTTAAACTTTCTTTCATGCCAMTTCAGACTAAACAATGAGTGGAAATGGATGGAAAAATAAGAAAAGTTGTTCCTCTGTGACATCTGAGTTCAGACACAAAACTCTTGGTACACGATGGTCAGACAAGTGTTCAGTTTCCTATTTGAACAGACATGAGCACAAGGATGGCCCAAGAATTTTCTTTTTACATACTAAAAAAAAAAAAATCTGAGATACAAAACATATCAATGGAAATCTGAGAGCTCCAGAAGAGTTTTCTCCGAGGTAAACTTTTATTTTGAAATGCCTCAGTCGTTCTGTACAGGCTCCCTGGTTGGTGAAGACAGGTCCTGGGTAGGCCACCCCACTACCCAYCCAAACTTTACAGCTTAAAAATGGTCCAGCAGCTCTGCCTGAAAGGATCCCGTGAAAGCRGTGTCGCCGGATGACCCGGTCACAGAGAGTCAGAGTTCAGAAAAGCCACATTCTTGGCAAGTGCATTTTGTATGCTCAACGTGCGATGTTTCCTAAGAGGCTGAAGAAGATTGAAGCTTGTTGTTATGAGACCTATAGGATGTGGAGAGAGGGAAGAGTTGAAAGCTCCTCACAGTTTTTAACATCTCAAAAAGGATCAACCGAACGGACCTGACTCTGTGTCCTGCAGCCATGTTGGTGTAATTAACCAGGAATGTTTTATTAGTGAACACAACTTCCACAACTACAAACTGAGGTTACAGTAACAGGACACGTTTCTCACTCCTTTCAGTACACTTCAGACTCAAAGCATGACAGATCTAAAATGACTCATTACATAATTCTTTAAAAGTCATATACAGCCACTGTGCATGTTTAAAAAAAAATCTATGTACATTTATGACAACCACCTTGGAACATCCAAACAAAGTCAAAATGAGGGTGAAGAAACATACAAAATACCTCATAAATATATTCATAATAAAATGTTGTACACCTTTTTTCATATTTTAATCAAAAAATTTCAACACGTCCAATTCAACTGTGATGTTTGACAAAAATAAATACAACTTAGCAAGTAAAACATTTAAAATCCTGCTGTAAGTTAATCAAACCAATTGATCATAAAGGCCCCAAATGATAACATGAGATGGTGATGACGACGACATGGCTGCCATTCTGCTGGGA